CCAGCGGTATGTTGGTGGCTCTTCCCATTTGTCAATATCTCTGTTCAAGGGGCACTAGGCAGAAGCCATTAAACCTGAAACGCCATGTAGCCAGGGATCACAAGACCAAGGCCACACTGTCCGAGTCCAAGACGGAGGCCAAGGCCAGTTATAACACACACATACATGTATACCTTAACTCTTCATGATCGAAGGTGATTTTCTATAAAATATTTCTAACACTGTTGGCTGCATATGAAATGCATCGAGATGGTATTGGATTTTTTATATTGTAACATCTCTCTTGGGGTCGGGAGCCGTTATAAAGAATGAGAGTCATTGGACTGACTTATACACACTCTACTGTTTTATTCTGAAGAATTATTCACATCTTCTCCATATTTACAATGAGCAACTGCTACTAGTAAGGCTGGATATTACTCAGGTACCGCTCGTCCAAATCTGAGTTTTTTTATTCGAGAGTGATAGAAAGGTTATTCATATCAGAGCTATACACTCACGAACAGCCTGGGAGTTGTTTCTCCAAAGCTGCCCACTTGGGAATGGTCGATGCTAACCGCTGGAGCTGGTCGCTTTAGATATATGGGAGCACTGGATTGGGGTGGTTGTTAATTATTCATGTCTATGGGGATTTGGTGCACACTTGGTCTTTGCTGACTTAGTTTCCGGAGAACAATAGAGTCCGAGAAGTTTGGGAGCGGGAGGGTGAAAGGCTGCTCGTGGGCAAGCTACGGGGGACTTGGTCAACGAGGGCAAGGAAAGGGTGAGCCTTTCCCGGTACATTGGGTTGTGTACGACACTTAGTCTCTGAATGGCTAGGAAATCTACACGTAATTCATACGGGGTAAAACTGAGGGTGAGCGGAGGTAATTGACCTCGCTGTGCCGTGACCGGACACAGGCTTTGGGTGTGTGGTTTGGCGGGACAAGTACGGTATGAGTTGGGGGTCACTGTGGGCCAAATGTACGGGTTATATGTGCGACTGAAAGTAGGATCGACTCCAAGAAAGATTTGGGGGAAAATGACGAAGTTGGAAATGTGCTACAGAGTTGTGGTTCAAGGGCATGTCGCAGCATAGAGCAACGGGGTCGCGTGTGGTATGCAATGCGCTGTGTACAATGCGTGTAACAAGATGGTCATTGCGCTCTCGCTGTGAGCTCAGTGCATGATGTGTGGAATAGAGATAATGTGTACGCTACAATAGGGGAACAGTTTGTTGGAGTGCAATTTTTTTGTAACAAAGTACAGGTAAACGGGTGAGTCCTCCCTCACCACCACAAAAGGAGAAAAATATATTACGTTAATTGCTCTCGCTACATACAATTTTTAAATTCTTAAATTTTTGAAATGTGAAAAAAACAAGAGTGCAAGAAAGTGACTGAGGCTTACGTGCAGGCCATTAATCCCAAAACAAAATTCAAGCCAGAAAGTTGGAGGTTCACAAACAGTTGCACAGTTGCCCAAAACTCCCCCAACCACATAAATTTGTGTGTGAATAAAGCAATTTTCAACAAGTAACAAAAGACAGAAGTTGGGAGCCATTCAAAAACAGTGACAATACATGTAATTTCTCTTGAAAAATACACATTTTGCAAGCACCTATAGTCAGTTTCGCTATAAAGCTTGTTTCGTGAAAACTCAACGGAAATAGCATTTTCTGCTAATAATGAATATCTTGGATAGGAAGAAAAGCACAAAAGGTAGTCTCAGACCATGGCTGCACTGCCATGTTGACCAGCCACTGCGTACGCTTGCCTAGCGCTGATCAATGTTTGGATAAAACTGAAGTTGGGAACACTGAGACAAAATTGGCGGCAAGCCTTGACTGATTCTTCGAGTCCTGAGGGTGCCAAGGCCAAGATGAGTCACTACATAGCGAGACTAAGGCTAAGGCCAAGGCTTTCAAAAATTAGCCTCGAGGCCCACTGCTTTGTTGGCTTTCAATTTGATTGATGTCACTGTTCCTTGCTATTTCTCTCCTGCATGATGAAACTTGATTTTCTAGAATTAAATCCACTGCAGTTAAAATGACTCATCTTGGTTAGCATCTAGATGGAATGATGTACCATAGAGAGCCAATGTAATCAGCAGAACCATTTGAATTCATTTGATCTCAGATTACGAGGATCCGCATTTCATTCTATGCCCACTGGATTTCATTGAGTACCCATTGCAAGGTGCATCTAATGCCACTGTGACATGGAATGTGACGGCAACGGATAACTCTGGAGAACCACCATCTGTTAATTGCAGCATCCAGCAGCCAGCAGTGCTGACTGTAGGGGAACACCCAATCAGGTGTACGGCTACCGATGATGCAGGGAACCAGGCATTCTGTAAATTTGACATTAGAGTCAAAGGTGAAACATTCACTTATGCTTGCACAGATTTCAAGTAGAATATTCTCAGTTCCCTTCAAGTTTGGCAGCCTTTGTGATGGTAAAAAGAACTCTTTTACCTCTAAGTTTTATTCATCCACAACCAAGAAATGCCATAACCCGTTGACACTGGAATTTTTGTCGGAAAGCCAATTCCAAGAATTCCAGCCTCGCTTGGCCACAAAGGCCACCTGCCAAACCGCAAATCCTCGGTCTGTGGCCCTGCGTGCTCTGCATGCTTTGAATTACACAGTGAAAAGGCTCTTTGTTCGGTGGTATGCGGCTCTACCCTACGCTTCCACATTCCCGTTGCCTCT